GGCCTTATGGTCCTGGCTCCTTCTATTCTGGGGAGCGTCAGTCCGGTTCCTATTCCACCGGCAAGTCAAAATGCACATTACATTGAAAATTAACCACGCTTCCTTCCATTTGGCCGAAGGACCCCTGAACAGCATTGATTGCTCCACCTTGGTGGAGGATTGACTGTCAGCTTGCCGTGCCCCTCTCTTTCCTCTCGGATCTGGAGTATAGATCTGGCTCCTTCCTGTCGGCCTGTGTCCTCCCCACTCATCTGCCCTGCCCGTGGTGCGTGATATCCCCTTTCCCATTTTATTTGTCCCCCCCCTTTTTTTTAAACATGCTTTAAACCCTAAACCCTAAACCCTCAACCTGCGAACCCGTATTCCAGCCACCCTTTGAGTCCGTCCCTTCCCCTTGCTCTTGTCCTTTGGTGCCGTCCGTCCAACTCTGTGCTGTCAATCCATGGCTGTAGCAGTTTAAGCTTGTCTATTTTGTCTGCTCCCCAACTTTAGACCCTCCTCCCTCAGCCTGTGTATCCATTCTCTAACGTTCCCTTGAGTCAACCCTGTTCCAATGTCTCTTGTTTCCCATGTCCGTGTCTTGAAACATGACTGCTTGCTCGTTGTTGGAATCCTTATTTGTTTCTGATTAGTGCCAATCCTTCCTAGGTCACTCGGACTTGTCCAACTCTTTCTCCTTGCCTTTTAGTGACCCTTCCGTAACAGGTCTCTTCTTGCTGTGTCGTCTCTGCTTCCTCAGCCCGTAATTCTGCACTGAGTTCTCGCTCCTGTATTGTACCTCCCCTTCCACTTTCCTGAGTCTATTCTGGGCTGCTGTCCTGTCCTCCTCCTCAATGCATTCTTTTCGCCCTCTCAGTTCCCCCTTTGTTCCCATTCCCTGGGCCCCTGTCGAACTACCCCTTTTTTTTTTCTTTTCTTTTCTTTTTTCCGGTTCCTATTCCCCCGGCAAGTCAAATTGCACATTACATTGAAAATTAGCCACTCTTCCTTATGTTTGGCCGAAGGACCCCTGATCAGCATTGATTGCTCCACCTTGGTGGAGGATTTACTGTCAGCTTGCCGTGCCCTTCTCTTTCCTCTCGGATCTGGAGTATAGATCCGCCAGATAGTGCTATGTCCCCTAGAAGGAGTTCATCCTTTGTCCCTGTCGGCCTGTTTCCTCCCCTCTCATCTGCCCTGCCCGTGGTGCGTGATATCCCCTTTCCTGAGTCTTGTGGGAGCCCCGCCTGTCCTTCCTCCCCCGATCTTCCTCTTTTGTCATCAACTCAGTTCCTCTTGTTTGCCCCTCCTCCCTGGATCTTACTGGCTTGTCAAAATTTTCCTTCCCTTTCCCTATATCCTACCACTCTCCTGTTCCCTGATTTTGTCCTCCCTCTTCTCTCCATTTAAAGCGTAGTTGTGTGCCTCTGACCTCTGCTACTGCCCCCTGACCCAACGTGTTCTGTTTAAATTTTTTAATTATCTCCTCCTCTTGCCCTGGTTGTTGTCGTGCCTGCTGTCTCACCCTTTTCCACTGCGCATTTAGATGTGTTTCCACTGCCTTGAGGAGCAGCTCCCTGGCTTCCTCTCTATGCATTAGCGTTCCTTCCATAGTGGTCTGACATCTCCTCTTCCAAATGATCCACAGCCCATACTGTCTCAGCAGCTGAAAGACATGTCTCTGGTAGGGTTGCATCCGTTTGGGTACCTCCGCCCCCAAAAGCCTAGCAATTCTTGACTCCGGAAAGGCAATCTTCGCCACCTGTATCCAAATTCCCCTGACTTGTTCCCACATCCCCTCCGCCTCCTTGCACTCCAGTAGACAGTGCACCAATGTTTCCGGAAATCCTTCTTGGCACACTCTGCACAGCTCCGCTTCCTCGCTTCTCTGGTTGTGGCTTCTTCTTTCGTTGAGCCACACATTCACTGGCAGTGCCACGTGCGCTATTAGCCATTGGATACTCCTCACCTGTCCCAGTCTTATTGATAGAATATTTGCCCATGGTATGTCTGGCATTTGGCTTCTGGGGATCCCCACCCTTTTCTCCCAGCGTTTGAGTAGAGTAAGTCCCATAGAGAGGGATCTGTTCCTCAACCTGTATCCTATTTTTGTGGTATAGTGGAGGATATTGATTCTCCTTGCTACTCTTGATTGTCCCCGCCTAATATTCCAGGCCCATTCACCAGGATCTACCTCTAGCTCCTCAATTGGTACTGTTGAGTTATACACTGTAAACTCCTCCATCTCTATCACTCTTACCTTCCGCAACCCTTGTTTGAGAATATACAGCGGCGCTTTTGATGTCCTATCCAATTGGGACGTGGTATTGCGCGGCTGTATTATGTCGTATTTGTCTGCTACTAGCCATTAGTTCCTGTCTTTGACCGTATCCCACACCCTGAATACCTCTCTAGGTTCTGCATCATCTTCCCATGTGGCCCAATCTCCCTCCCGCCATTGTTTTCCCCCCCTCATCAACTGCACCCAGGTTGGATGTATGGAGCCTGTGACTACATTCAGATTGTCCTGAAGCTTGTGACACCCCTTCAATATCCTCCTCAGCTCCTCTGTGGTTTTCCATCTGTTGGTCTCCTCATCCCAAATGTGTTTGATCTGCCATTCCCCGTGCTCCAACCATCTGCCCCATCTCGAATCCTTGCTTGTTAATGTTAGAGGCTTCCCGCCATTGTCCTTAATGCTCGCGTTGCAGAATAACGGTTGTCTTAATACCTCTTCTCTTGTAGTAGGCTCTCTTACCCTCGCTGGGAAGACCTCCTTCCACAGTTGTATTAGTTGTAGCCAATAAGCCGGATTTCTAACTCTCCCTCCTTGTATTTCTCTATTCTCCTCTCTGTGGCCCATTTTAGACCAGTTGCTACACATAATCCAGAACAGCCCCGTCATGTTGCTTGGTGTTTTGTACCTAGCTATCTGCCTAATCTTTTCCAATACTAATGACGTCCATGATAGTCTAGGCTGTGAGATTAGCTTAACCACCCATTTTGTTTGAAGCGCTTTCAACTGCTGACTTGGGTCCAGAATACCTAAGCCCCCTTGCCGCTTGGGTCTGGTTACCGTTTTCCATGCCACCTTGGCTATGAACTGTTCCGTGTTGTGCTTCGCCATCCACAAGAAGGCTGCGGCCTTTCTCCTAAGCTGGGCCGACGTGGCTTTGGGCGGGGTCCAGATAGACCCTGCATACCCCATCATGGAGAAAATTGATGCATTCAAAATCAGTGCTCTTCCGTATATTGAGGTGTACACTGCCGACCAAGCGCTGAACTTTGCTAACACCTTGGCCATAATGTCCGCCGCCATTGATTCGTGTGTCCCCTCTTCTGTTATTTTGATCCCTAAGTACCGGAGCGGCTGCTGTGGCGTCATCCACTGAAGCCCCTCCGGGCTTGTGACCGGAATCTGATTCTCTTGATCCAGTTCTGCAAGCCACCACCCCACTGTTTTGTGCCAATTGACTTCCATCTACGAAGCCAGTTGGAAAGCTTCCATTGCCCTTGTTAGCGCTTGAAAAGAAGAGTCTGTTGCTCTGATCAAGACCGTCAAGTCGTATGTGAACAAAATCGTCGTGGGGAGTTCGACCATGTGTCCTTGCTGGTCTGGCGGTGCTATTAATCTCTCTATTGACGGGTCCTTTCTTACAAAAGAGGCTATTGCCTCCATTATGAAGAGAAAGATAGGAGCTGCTAAGGGGTCCCCCTGCCTAACCGATCTTGACATTGGGTAGGTCGATGATAAGTGACCATTGACCTGCACTTGTCCCCGCGCATTGTTGTATAAGACCCTTATCCATTTTCTAAAGTTTGGCCCTACCCCCATTCTTTCCATGGACAGCTGCAAGAAGGGCCAACTGACTTGGTCATATGCCTTTTCGAAATCGAAAGAAAGGATGGCAACATTTATTCTCTTGTCTCTTATATATCGGACAGATTATGTTAGACACATGACATTGTCTAGTATAAACCTTCCCGGAATGAATCCTGTTTGATCCAAATGGAAGCAACCTGCCGTGATCTTTGATAAGCGATTAGCTAGCGCTTTGGCTACTATCTTGTGCGTGAGGGTCAACAAAGTTATTGGCCTGTAATTTCGTATGTCCACTGGACTCCCCTTCTTGTAAAGCAGCGTGACTATTCCAGTTGCGGGCTCATTGCCTATACCCTCAAGCTGCCATGCCTGCTCTAGAAAGGCCAGGTATTCTTCGCCCAAAATGGGCCAGAATTCTAGCAAAAATTCTCTGGTCAGACCATCCCTCCCTGGGGTTTTGTTCGGAGCCATCGTTTTAAGTGCATCCCATAACTCCTCCTGTGTTAAAAGTTCATCCAGCATGGCCGCATGCTGTCGTGATATTGTGTTCTGTAGGTAGTTTAGAAATTTCGATCGCGCCTCCTTCACCCTTAGCCTCGGGAGCTGGTCTTCCGTAGATGTGTATAGTCTACTATAGAAATCGAAAGCCACCCTTAACATCCCTTCCTTGTCTGAGGTAAGCCCCCCTTCCCCTTCTAATTGCTCTATGAGGTTATTTCTGCCCCTAGGCTTTATTTTTTGGAAGAAAAATTTGGTCATTCTCTCCCCCTCCTCCCATTCCCTGACTCTAGCCCTCATTTGTAAGCCTTTCATTCTCCACCGTTGCCAGTCCACCATCTCTCCTCTTGCCGCCTCCAGTATTCTTTCGTATAATTCGTCTCCTGGCCAATTAATCGTATTGCGCTCCGCTATCTCTATTGCTCATGCCAACTCTTCTTCTCTTTCCCTCCTCTTTGCTGCCAGCCTCCTTGCCACCATTGCTGACGCCTTAGACAGTGTCATTAGCAGTTCTGGGAATGAATGTGTGTCTGGGTTGTGTTCCTGACACACTTGCAAAACCGCCTGTCCCATTTCCTGAGTTTTCAGGAGGGAGTTGTTGATTTTGTAGAACCCTCTACCTCTGATGACTTGTTTGTCCGGTGTCAAGCTCAGATGGATAGGTTTGTGATCCAAACCCAGACCGTACGGCAGGCTACCTATACTCACTGATTGCAACATGCCCATTACTCCTGACGACGTCAAGAAATAGTCTATCCGGGACGCCGACACGTGTTGGCTGCGGTTCCTTTTGCGATAGGTGAATTGTCTTTCGTATGGGTAATGTAACCTATAGGGATCTATCAGTTCTAAACTCGTCATTAGCCTATGGATCGGTAGCGATTCTTCTGTCCACCCTTCCTCCTCTGATCTAACCCCTCCCGATAATTTGTCCAAGCTAGGATCTAAGGTGGCGTTCCAGTCTCCTACTAGAATCAGATGCCTTGTCCCATCCAGGATCTCCTTAAGCCTTTCGACCAGATCCTCTCTTTGTTGAGAGCCATTCAGAGAGTAAGCCGAGAGTAGCGTGTAGGGTTCATCATGCAGCTCAAAGTCGACCTTGACCCATCTACCCTTCTCCTCGTCCACCCTTGCTTCTGTGATGCGAATCCTGTCTGCCGCCGTAGTCCTTTTGCTCTGCAGTATAACCACTCTCGTGGAATGGTTACTTGCTGCTGGGGCCCACCATGCTGCCTTAACTCCTTGCAGTTTCTTCTCAATCCTGTACTTCGTTTTCTGGTGTTCTTCCGATTCTTGAAGATGTGTTTCCTGCAAGCACAAGAAATCCGGTGGAGACGAAGTGTACCATTCTGAGTAATTCACTACATTTTGCCACTTGTCTCCATTCTCCAAAATCCCCACCATCCCATTCACATTCCATGACGCTATTTTGAGCTCCGGTGGACCTGTTCCCCCCTTAATCCTTCTTCTCTGCTTTCTTGGTCTCTCTTCCACACCTCTCTCCATTAGGTCCCCGTGTTAGAATGTGGACTTTCCTTCTAACTTTCCTTGTTGAAGTATCTTGCACAGTGAGTTCTATGGTCGTTGCCACCTCACTTACCCTCTTCTCGAAGAAGTTCGGCTTCCAAACCAACGCCTCCACCTTCACTGCAACCGCTGTGCACCTAGCCACCCATTCCGCACCTAGTTCCCCCCCAGCAGCCCATAGGGAATGGTCTCCACCACCTGCCAAGACATCCAGATCAATCCCTCCCTTAATTCGGACTCCGTCCCCATTTGGAGTAGTAGCGGTCCGACATCGGCTGTTGTCTCATCTTCACCTTCCTCACCTATCGCCACCGGCTCCTCTCCTCCTTCTCTCAATATAAAAGCTCGAGCTGGCACCTCTCCCCCTATTAATCTTTGAAGATCCGAGCCTGAGCACTCTTCCATCGGGGCCGTTAGCAGCTGCAAGGACTGGTTGATTGCCACTTCCCAGTCCGAGTGCCTTGCATTCCATCGACAGGGCAAAACCACTCTCCTCCTCGTCCCATTCTTAACTTCCAGTCGGGCCGCAGCTTCTATCTCCTTCCACTGACCCTTTGCTATTTTTTGTACATCCACTGTGTCGTCCTCCAATTCCCTGTTTTCATCCTTGAGTAGGTTTACCTGCACCACCAAAATCGCAGCTTGCCTTCTCAAATCCTGCACCTCTTCCTCTTCAATCTCTCCCTTTACCCGATCCTCCTCCATTACTGCATCCTCCATTGAGTCATTCCCCCCACCAACTGCACTGCTTTGCTCCTCCACCATTTGCACCTTTCGTTTCTTACCGTCTCTCTTCCTTTCTTTGCTGTGGTAGGTCTTTGGCCATTGGAATAACCTGCCATATTCCTCCTATTGTATGTGGATCTCATTCCTTACTGTGCGGGTCTTACTTGCGTACTGAGATGCATAGATTTCTCCTTCCCTCCTTAGCAGTTCAAACCTGTTCTCTGATGTGATGTCCTCCCCTGCTTGTGTAACTTGTTGGAGGTTCCTCAGGTGTTTATGGTGGGCCAGTCTAATTTCACCCTCGATCGTCCTCCCCCATTCCAGCTGCTCTACCTCCTTTATCCACCGCTCTCTTGACCAGTCTTCCACATCCGAGTCCTCCTGCTCTTCCTCCTCCTCTTCTTCCTCTTCCTTTGATGAGGCTTCGCTCTCTGTGTCCCCTGAGCCCTCCCTCTGGTCCTCCGCCTCCAAGATCTGCTCCACTGTCATGTTTTCAGCATTGTGCATGCCCCTCCTTCTCTCCCTTTCCCTTACTCTTTCTTCATCCTCCAGTGTTTCCTGCCCCTGGGACCCCTGGGATCCACTTCTGTCCTCTTCATGCTGTGAAGCCCCCTCTGAGTGATCCTTATCCGTCAAGACCACCTCTCTCCCTCCCGCCATGTCTGTCTCTTCTTCCCCTGCCCTGCTTCCCCTTGAGGCCGCACCATGTGAGCCTGTGTCTGTCTAACTCTCTTTCCCCGACCTCCCTGATGATTCCTTACTGGTTCTGCCCCCCTCCCCTCTTCCTCCCCTGTAGTAGCCTCCTCCCCGGATTGGGTTTTTTGTCTCCTTTTCCCCTGCTGCGACCCTCCTTGAGTACTAAACCCATTCTCTTCCCTAGACTCTACTTTCCTCTTTGTGGAAGTACTTCCTCCCTCTGTTCCTTCTGTTCCTCCCCTCCCTCCTTCGTCACAATCCATGTTGTCTCCCTTACCCTCCTCCGTTTCCTTTGACCCCTCTTCCCTGCCTCTTGCCTGCTCCTGCTGCTGTGCACTGGCTTCTGCATTTTCCAAGAATGCCAATTCCGCATTTTTTCCAACCTCGTGCAATTCCCCCATAAGCTTCAATCTCTGCTCGACATCCTGCATGACCACGTCGTCCAACATGGGTTTAACGATAAAACCCGTTTCCTTGTCCTCCGTTCTCTTGGCTCCGGTGTGTCTCCACCTGCTATCATAGGGCGGATAAATGTCTGGTTTGACCGTTGGTTCCTTTTTCAACACCCAAACCCACCTTGGATTATCCAGGTTGTCGTCAAATATCCATCCCCTGTATTGAGATGAATTGATATACCAGACACCTGGTTTGCTCTTGCACTCCTGCAGCATAGATTGTCTCAATGCCACCCGTTTTCCCCCTGCTCCTCCTGATCCCCCTTGTGGACAAGAGGTACCTAGGTGGCCTCTACCCCTGCATTTGAAGCAAAATGGGTTAGTCTTAGTAGAAATAAAGACTGTAATTCTCTGACCAGTTTTCTTGAAGGTCCATTGATCCGGGAACTTTGGCAGCGCCCCTCACTTGACCTCCAAACATGCCACCCTTGCATCGTGATTTGGCGCCAGGAAATCCGGATTGGCCGGGAGCCATTCTATGATCGGATTGCTTGGGAATTCCTCCTCCAGTCTCCTTTGCACAAAGCTATGCATCCCTTCCGATAGGTTGTCGAACTGTACCCAGAAATGGTTCCTCAGCATTGATTGCCTGTGCCTTGATGCCTCGGCCTGAGGTGGTCTTGGCGGCTTCCAGGGTTGGATTGTGACTACAGCTCCCTTGCATTTCAATGAACCAATCGACAACAGATACTGGGCATAGGTAGGATCCACACAGACAATCATCACCGCGAACCTTCCCCTCCTGTGGAACGAAACTTCTGGTTCCTTCCCTGGTACATCTTCCATGGCTATCAGCCTATCCCTCACCCACCTTCTCTTCTCATTCAATGGAAGCTCCTTGCTTCTTCCTGAGAAGTTAAACAGAACCGCATGCTTCTCATACAACTCATTCAAAGACTGAATGTCCTCTTCTGGGTATTCCCAAACGTCCACTTCCTCCTCCTTCCCCCCTTCTCCCTTGATTACCTCCTTCGTGATCTTAATCTCTGCCTTGATTTGTGTTTTCTCCAGGAGGAAATCCATCGCCTTTTGCCCCAAAGATCGTGACTTGGCTTCACCTGTTCTTGACGCCGTACCTGACTGAGATGCTGTCTGCCCTGATTGGCTCATTGCCATTCCCCCCTGCCCTCGAGCAAAGTCCTGTTTCTCCCTCTCGCTCATTGCCTTTTGGGCTGCCATGGAGTACGATGTCACCATCTTTGGAAGGTGACTCCTTGGACCTGGGTTAAGAGGAGTTGGACTCTCCTTGGGAATTAGTAGTTTAGTTGACCAAGCAATGGCCAAGCAATGGCCAGGTTAGCAGAGAAAGGATTTTCAACACGAGTAGAGAGGAATATATGGGCCAAGCAATGGCCAGGTTAGCAGGTAGGTGGGAGGGGTGGTGGTTGTAAGAGGAGAGAGGTGTGATAGAGGGTTGCGCGTCGACGAGAGGTAGATTGGGTAACTCCAGGGGCGGGAGAAAGGGAGGCGGGAGGAGAGGGGGGGTAATGGAAAGTTGTGTTGTGACCAAGAAAAAGTCGAGCCGTGATCGCAAAAGGGGCGGTGTTTATAGTCGGTGAGGAAGGGACTGGTTAGAGTTATGATCGGGGGGGGAGTTTGAGGTTGGGGTGGGATCCGTATGGGAGACGGGTGTAATCAGATTAGAGTTGGGAGATGGGTGGGGCTAGTGTTGGAGGTCGTTGGAGTGGCGGTAGTTCAAGCTTGGTGTAGAGAACAGGACGAGATTGGGAAGAGAAGAAGGTGAGCTGAGGCGAGGACTGAGATGGGATTGAGATGGGGACAAAACAGGAGCATAATGTTAAGGAGATGGGAGAGACGTGGTCGGGGTAGTCGAAAGCTCGTGGAAGAGAGTTGGGGGAGGGTGGTGTTGAAGGAGGGTTAAGTGATCGGGAGTGGGGGCGGGGTGGGGTTAGGTTGGTAACTGGGTGGGATCGGGGTGAAGTCGCGTCTCGATTGGGATGGGATTGGGATGGGTTCGGGTTGTGGTCGGGATGGGAGCGGGATGGGGGATGGGGGAGGGAATGGGATGGTGTCGGAAAAAGGAGGTAGGTGTGCCTCGGGGGTGGGAGGGGATTTGAATGAAGATAGATTGTGTTAGCTTGGAGGTCGACTGGTGGCGTCGGGATGAGAATGGGATCGAGAGGGGAGGGGAAGGGTTCGGGTTGGGGTCGGGATGGGGTCAGGGTTGTATCGGTTGTATCGGTTGTATCGGTTGTATCGGATTAAGGGATTGGGATAGGGGCGACTTGGAATTGAGATTGGGGCGGGATGGGGTCAGGACCAGGTCGGATAACGGGATCGGTGGGGATATCAGGAACGCTGTGGGGGGGGGGGGACGGAGTCGAGATGGGGACGAGAGTGAAATGTGACGGGGAGAGATGACGGGGTCAGGGTGGAGGAGAGAGCGAAGTCTAACTAGGAGGGAGAGTGGGATGGAATGACGGGATTGGTCAGCGGGGGGGAGGAAACGGGATCGGGGGTGAGGTATAGGGGATAAGAAGGGAGATAGTCGATATGGGGAAATAAGAATGGGATCCGGTATTTGGATGGGGTTGGGTTGGATACAGTTGATGGTTTCCAGAGCGGAAAGTGGGTCGTAGACGGGGACCAGGGACAGGCAAGGCGGAGGTGTGAAAAGACAAGAATTTGGGGAGACGGAGTGTAGGCGGGGGACTGGACTAATCGAAGGGGAGGTAGGAGTCGGGATTGGGACTGAGAGATGGAGTGTATGGTGGGAGAGTATGTGACAGAGTCGGGATAGGGGCAGGGAGTGGGTTGGCCAATGGGGAGGAGGAGATCGGGGTCAGGGCTGGGCTATGAGAGTTAAGATGAGCGAGGGGTGGAATGAGAATGAGGTCCATGATCTGTACGAGCTTGGGATCTGGCTGGGGTTAGACACGGAGTGGGTGAAAAACAGGATCTGAGGACTGGATCGGAGAACTGGGATGACGAATGGTTTAGGATTGGGCGGGAGTCGAGCTTGAGGATGGGATCGGGGGGGAGACGAAGGTAATTAGTGTCTCTGGTGGAATGGGTTGTGGTCGGATCGGTGGCGCGGGCGGGATGGTAGGGACGAGCAGAGAGGGTATGGAGGTTAGTGTAGGTAGCTCTCACTCCGGTTGATCTTCGTCTTCGACGATGAAGGCTCGGACGTGGCGATGCAAGATGTTGTAGGGATGTTCTTCTTCAGTCGAGAGGCGGGCGGTGCTTCGGTGTTCCAAGTAATGATAGTTCGCTCGGATTCCCATAACGTGGAGAACGCTACTGAGAGGGGAAATAGAATGGAAAAAGGTTTACCAGACTGATGCTAATAGGAACCGGACTGACGCGAACGCTGCGCTCGCGTCGCGCCGTATCCTGGCCCCGCAGGGGCGTCGCGCCATCTCCTGGCCCCGCAGGGGCGTCTCGTCGGACCATCGCCGGAAGACCATACACTCGCCATAGCCTGATCCACACTTGGCACCAAGTGCGCGCGCTCGGCGCGCGTACCTATCTCGACGTCCGCCATGGGAAAGAAAGGCTGAGTCGAAGAACGCGCGATCTCGGGGGCTCCTAGTGGACAAAGGGGGGTCCGCTCTGTGTTCTGTTGCTTGTCCTTGTCTTTCCCTGTTTGTCCGGTCCTCTTTTTGTTGATCACCATTCAGAACCTTCTGCCAGGTCTCCCGGCATGTACCCTCGTGGTCTTCATGATTCTGCCTGGTGCCATTTCTTCCACCTCAGTCTGTTGTCTACTATCGTTGCCACCTTGCCTTTTAGCAACCAGGTCCTTATGAAAGTCCATTTCTTGGTTGCTTGTCTTTCTGGTCTGTGCCTCGTAGAGTTTGCTATTCTCCGCCATTTGCTCCTGATTTCCGTCTCTGCCATGCTCAACAGTAGTGACCACATTTCTTCTCTTGCCACCTCTGTTCCCTCGATCATCTGAGTGCATCTGCGTTTCCATATCACCCACAGTGCCAACTTCCTGAGTAGGATGAACCATGCTTCCCTGCTGCCTGTGATGTTGCTGGGGATGTTAGTTAGAAGTAGGGTAAAGATACGGGGGATGTTTGGGGGGGGCCAGCGAACAGGATCGACCATAGCTCGCGGATCTTCTTCCATATCCAGATTGCTTCAGGGCAGAAGAGGAGGCAGTGGCGGATGTCTTCGGGTGAGTCGTTGCTGCACATTGAGCAGCATGCCGAGCTATCAAGATCAGAATGTTTCCTTCTCTCGTGTAACCATTGGTTGACTGGCAGGGCTGCATGTGCTATTAGCCATTGCATACTTCAGATTCTACTCGGTCTGATAAGAAGGTATTTGGTCCATGTGATGGTGATGGGGGTCGTGTATCTAGGTTCAGTATGGTTCTCCATTTCTCTGCCAGCCTTGGGTTCGGGTCCCTGGTTTGTAGTCCGAGGTTATACCCGAACTTTACGTCGTATTCTGTTATCCTTCTCGATTTACTGGCGGCGCCCAGATCCTAGATCTATTCATTTGGGTCGAATTCCAACTCGTTGACGCTGAGTTCCGGCTGGAATATAAACTTGGGTGTCTTGTGAGAGACTCTAACCTTCCTGAGGAGGTAGGTTTCTATTTGTTCGTTTTGTGGTGTTTTGTTTAGGATCTCTAGTTCATATAGGTTGTGCTTGATGATGGGGTAGGATACGGATGGGGTAGGATACGAACTTGGCCTGGTAGTTGGTTGAGTCCGGTTTTGACACAAAACGGTAGGCTTTCGTTGGTGGGGTCTGTGTGGTGAGCAGTACCCAGTCTCCTGGTTTCCACGTATGTGTCTCTTTTAGGAGGGTCGTCCATGGGGGAGGAATGCTTTGGAGGATTTCTGATAGGTTGGTGGTCAGTAGATGGCAACCTTTTAAGGGAGTGCGAAGGTCCTGTGTGGTGAGCCATTCTTGTCGGTCGTCGGACCACATATGTTTGACCTGCCATACTCCTCTCTCCACCCATGACAGCCATCTGCGGTCTTTGGCCCGGGGAGTCCACGGTCTGCCCTCTGTGTCTTTGATCCAGGGATTGCAGAACAGGGGTTGTCGTATGACTTCCTCTTTGTTGCTCGGGGGCCCTTTCTTTTCTTGCATCAGTCGGCGCCAGGTCTTCAAGATCGGAGACCAGTAGGGGGTGGGTGTAATGGGGGGTTGAATGGGGTCACTGGGTTAGTTTTGCTTGCTGGTCTCCCCGATTTGATTGTCCACTCCTTTGCCATGATCCAAAATAGGCCACTCATGTTCGGTGAGGTCACTGCTGGTGCCAAATTCCTTATGCTGTCTATCGCCATCGCGGTCCACGGGAGGGCTTGTTTGGTTAGGATTTTGATTATTCATTTAATTTGGAGGGCGATGGCTTCCTGTTTAGGGTCGATTATACCGAACCCTCCTTGTGGTTTCCTGATGACAGTTTGTCAGGCCACCTTGCTTATGCAGGTGGTTCTGTTGGGGTCGCCAGTCCACAGATAGCACCTGGCTCTAGCCTTCAGCTTCTTCAGGTCGTCGTCGGGGGGCCACCGTATGGAGGCCATGTATCACAAGGTGGAGAATACTACTGTGTTGATGATCAGGGCTCTCCCTAGTAGGGAGGCCTAGGCTCTGTTGCAGGTGGCTAAACGGGTTATTGCTCTGGCGAGTAGTGACTCCCCATCCCTTGTCAGATGCCATCCCTGTTTACCATAATGCCTAGATATCAAAATGCTTGATTGTCTGTGGTCCAAGACATTGGGGTGGATGGGTCTGGGGGTTGGGGGGGGTGCCTTCTACAAGCCACCACCCTTCCGTTTCAGCCAGTTCACCTTCATTTCTGAGGCGAGTCTGAAGGCTTCCATGGCGCGGGCCAGGGCCTGGAAGGAGGAGTTGTTAGCGCGGATGAGGACCGTGAGATCGTCTGCAAACATCTGTGCGGTCGGGAGAGCAAAGTCGTGGAGGGGGTTGTAGTTTTGTTCGGTGAGGCGGTCTATGGATGGATCCTCGCGCAGAAAAGATGTGATGGCTTCCATTATGAACAGGAATATTGGGGGTGCAAGGGGGTCGCCTTGCCGGACGGACCTCGATATCAGGTAGGTTTCTGACAATATTCTGTTTATCTGCACCCTGCCAGTGGCATCCCCATAGAGTACTCTAACCCACTCTCTGAAGTTTGGGCCGACTCCCATCTTCTCCATGCAGCTGTGGAGGAAAGTTTGCAAATACTATTGATTACAGATTTGTCCAGAGTTTTGGTGGAAATGAGCTGTTTTCATTAAGCCAATGGACAAAGTACAGGCCTGTCATTATACTTCAAAAAAGAACTTCTGCTAAGGTGTTCAGCTTTATGACACACAATCTACATATTCCAAAAATCACAGGCACGGCACTTGCTTATCTAAAATCAGAATTTATTCCGATTAACCCTCCAAATGTGGGGGGAAAAGGAGGGAAGGCCCAAACATATTGATGCTTTACTACATCTCCCATTTCTGGTCTTGCAGGCAAATCAAGAGGAAATCTAGAGGGACAGTGCAGCGGGACATGTGGAACCCAGCTAGAAACCCTTCCTTTTTTTTTCCTTTTTTTTTTTGTTTTGTTTTTTAACAGGGCCTTATGGCCCTTGCACCGTTCTATTCTGGGAAGCAGCAGTCTGGCTCCCATTCCTTTCTTTTTTTTTCCTTCTTTTCTTTTGATTCTTGATTTTCAAAAATGGTAATCCGTCCATGTGGGTAATACCATACATGATCACAAGGACTGTTCAATCTTATCCGATAGGCAGGAGGCTTCAAACACGCACATGTGTTCACATTGCTTCTATGGTGACTCTCAGTATACTACAAAGAACAAGATAGATATGGCTCAGTACAAACCACTACCCAGGAACAAGGCCATCTGGAGATCTTGCAGTGGCCAACATGACTTTTGACGGTAACAAAGTGTCTACACACATGGATTATTCAGCTCTTAGGAATTTGTGAGAGAAACTGACAGAGACCAGAAGCTGATTTGTTGGCTGCTTTGCTCTGCATCTCCTCTGGTCCACATCCCTGGCTAAAACCGGTCCCCAAGGGGGCCACTCCTGGTGGGAATTCTTGCAGGTGATTGTCAAGAGACTGTCATCAAATGCTCGAATTGCTCTGAAGTCACATTTTGGGAATGAGATCATTAAGGTCAACATATACCATGACCAGGTTGGTCTTGGCTCCTAATCATGTCTGTCCTGCGTCTTGACTTGTGGAACTGTTGCTAACATCTTCACCTGAATAGAACAAACGGTCATTATCGCAGTATCTAATCTGAATTTTTCCTGAATACAGATATAATGACTGTGTGTTGCATTGGGGTGAGGATGGTAGTTTAAGTGCAAACCATTCAGACCATGCTTCCATGTCCGAAGGTTCTTCCATGCCCTTTCAACACACTAAGAATTCATAGGTCATGGAGTTCAGCAATGCAGAAGATGCATTATGTTACTTTGTGTACCTGTTTATCTGAAATCCTAAGAAACAGTGCCTTTGCGACTCCTTAGGGCATTAATTTTACTATTCGGAGTTCGGCGCCCACTTCGTTCGCTGGCCTTGACTGTGCGACAGACTAACTCAAGTCTGTCGATTTAGGCTCCTTCCCATCTGCTGATTCACTTAGTTTAGGTACTACAAGCCCTCTGTCCGATTCCACCTGAATGGTTCACCAGTTCCACCAAATGCTCCCATCCCGAAATGGGATTCCCAAGGGGGCAAAGAGTTTTTGGTCCTTCTCAGTCACACCCAAGACCCCTGGTGCTATGCCTGCAAACAGAAAGGCCATCTCTGTACAGATGACCTGTGCCCAAAGAACAGCCACAAATTGAAAATCAAAGGGCTGGTCACCCCCCACCCCACAGACGAGGAGAGGTGGTACCCGGAGGAGGAGCTTCAAGGCTGGATGTTCAGGGCATACGCTGACGGGCGTCCTGGGAAATGGATGTGGCACGGGAAGGGCCGACCGACTGCTTTTCCATTTGGGGCCGATGTGATCATAACCAACGATGATCACAAACACAAAGACAAACAGGGGGCTTCCCCACGACCTGCTGATAGGAAGAACTGTCGACAACCACCTGTGCATGGTGCACAGAAGACCACTGCTGGGGGGAAGGGGTGCACAAACCACCCCCCAAAAAAGATACTGCCAAACAAAGTGATAAGGCAGATCCGCCTAACGCCCTGGATGTCTCCACCATGCCCAGAAAGTCTGGCCTAATGACCACTAAGAACGACACAGACAAGCACAGCAAAAAGTCAGGCCTGTCCAATGCCCCAATTGCCCCCAAAAAGTCCAAAAAATTTGGCCCACCGCCCCCCTGCGAATCTATAAACCCAGATCAGTGGCAGACGCGGGCGTAGGCACACTGGGATCAGAACCCACAGCAAGCCCAGGATCAGACAGTGAGAGGGCACAGGGGAGAGCAGGGCATCCGGACACAGCTGGCCCACGACAGTGCCCTGCCACAAACACTGCCACAAACGCTGACACTGCGGCTCAGCAGCAGTCTGGCGGCAAGGGTGAAGGGGGAAAAGGACAGTACATTACTAAAGGGGGCTGCAACATGCTTGCCCACAAGGAGGCGGCCTTGACTGAGCAACTATCCCGGGACCCTGGATCGGGCCCTTGGCTCCAGGATGGAGGCATTACTGTAATAGAAGTAGACGCCCGGATCCACTGTGATCGACCACTCACCCCCCCCCTGATCCAGGGACAGGCCACACAGGGAGGAGACGGAGAACGACAACACACCACAGGGACACAACACAGCCCGGTCACAGCGGCCAACACAATTGCTCTGCTGCAGAAGCGGCAACTCCCCTCCCCCCTGAGCCAGGACCAGATCACGTAGAGACTGGAGAGTGGGGCATGGCACAGCCCGGCCAAAAACACAGATACCACTGCTCAGCACAAGACCGACAGCAGGGGCAAAGGGGGAGGAGGACAGCACAACACTGGTGGGGACAGTAACATGCCTACCCATAATGAGGTGGTCAAGACTGAGCGACAACCCCGGGACCCTGACCCAGTCCCCCTGCCCCGCCTTCGAGAAACAGAACAACAGCCTCAGCTGTCACCACAGACAGAAAGACAGCAGCTCCAAGATGGTGGCATAAGTGTGACAGAAGTAGACACCCGGATCCACAATGACCGACCACCCACCCCCCTCCTGCTCCAACGACAGGCCATGCAGGTAGGGGACGGAGGACGACAGTGCATCGCAGGGACACAAGCGAACACTGTTATAGTGGCCAACACAATCGCTTTGCTGGAAAAGTGGGAATTCCCTTCCTCCCTGATTCACGACCACACCACGCACAGACAGGTGGGCAGGGAACCCCAAAAGGTTCCTGTGCTGATGACTGCAAACCCCAACCACCAGGTAAATATGGGGGTCAACGCAGAGTCTCAGTTAGTCAAAGGGAAGGGGCTACATATAAACAAAGAGTTGGACTGCAAAACACCTGCCCTCAATGTTGCAGTCACAGCTCAGAGTCGTCTACGGGACTCCGCATTGGGCCCTCAGCCCCAATCCGCACAAACAGAGCTCCGTCCTCAACTACTGCAGCAGACAGAACTGCAGCAGGCACCGGATGGGGGCATAACAGTGACAGGATTGGGCACCCCGCCCCTACTCCAAGGACGGGTCACACAGGCAGGGGATGGAGGTCAACAGCACAATATCGGGGTTCAAGTGAGACCAACCACAATGACCAACACAACTACTCTGCAGCAAGAACATGGGCAGGGGAGTGGGGGGGCAGGGGAGCACAAATCTGAGATGGGCCGATATATGCTTGCTGAACGGCCAAGGCAGGGAGGAGAACAACAGCAGTTCCCTCAAGGGGGCAGTGTTGCCCCCAAACTGGACAAGAAAACCCAGCATAAGCAACAACTCCCCTCCCCCCTTACCCAAGCATACACGACGCAGGGACAGGGGGGTAGGGAGGCTCTACAAAAGGCTGTAAGACAGAAGACTGTAAATTCCAGTTACCAGGTAAGTAGGGCGGCCAAAACTGAACCTGAGGCAGACACAGGGAAAGGCCTCAACCCACAGGGAGTATGGTTTAAAGCCAATTCCCTGCTTAATAAAATCAAGGACGCAGCTTTTGCCCAACATTGGGATCAGTCACCGGCAAAACAACATGACCAATCCCCTCACACGCCTGAAGACAAACTGCTACTACCTGACCACCAAAAGCTGCAGCGTCACTCCCCTGCAACTCCACAGCCCCAGACAGGACACATCGGCCAAAGGGAAGGCGGACACCCGCAGGATGACCCCCGGGGAGAGGTTGGGCGGGAGCAACCCGAAGACCTGCAAAATCAAACTGTAATCATAACTCGACCATCGCCTGCCGGCATGAAAGAGGTTGTCTCGGAACTGACAGGGGAGATCAAGTTCCTTCCCTCCAAACTGCCCCGCCAACCGCCCAAGAAACCCTCGCGGCCAACACCATCCCTGCCCTCCGTCGCCCTATCTGAGGAGGACAACAACAACTCCAAAGACAAGGAGCCCGCCCTTGTGGAATGCTGCCAGCGGTGGCGACAACAACAACATGATTATTTGCTATCCAACGTAGAGCAACAGCAACAGCATCCGCAACGGCAAGAGAATGCGCAGATCCGAGTGATGAAGTCCCATGCGCAGGCCGGAGAGGCAAGGATTCAGCCGCTCGCACAACAACTTGGGGAGGAGGTTGAATGTACCGACATTAGAACCACTTCAAACAGGCATCTTCATCCTCAGCAGTCCCCACCCCTGCTATCCCTGCCCACCGCCGCCTTGTCTGAGGAGGACAACAACACTGCCAATGACAAAGAGCCCGGGGCCGTGCAATGCTGCCAACAGCAGCAACTGCAATAACAACAGCAGTTGCTGTCCACCATAGAGAAACAGCAACCACAACTACAAGTGAATGCACAGTCGTACGTAATGCAGTGCCACGTGCAAGCCCGGGAGGCAAAACAACACACCCAATTACAGCAAGCTGAGCAGCAAGCAGCACAGTGTCAACAACAGTTGCAACCAAGGCGGCAACAATCCCAGATGAACCATGCGGTGCATGGCCAACAGCAAAGCCAACAGCAGATGCAATCGCAGCAGCAGGACCATCACCTGTTGGCACAGCAGCAACAACAAGAGCAAGCCAGGGAGGCACAGCAGCACATTCAAATACAACAAGTGCTGCAGTACGAGGCACAATGCCAACAATCGCTGCAAGCACAGCAACAACAAGCCCAAGTGCACCACCATAAGCAATGCCAACAGCAAGAGCTAATGCAGCAACAACAACCGCAGCAGCAGCTGGTGCAACAACAACAGGAGCAAGTATGGGAGGCACAGCACCAAACCCAGCTACAACAAACCGTGCAGCAAGCTGTGCAGCATGCGACACAATGCCAACAACAGCTACAACAATAATGCCAACAGCAAATGTTAATGCAGCAACAACAACTGACGCAGCAACAGCAGGAGCAAGCGCGGGAGGCACAATACCAAATCCAACTGCAGCAAGCTGTGCAGCATGTGGCACAAGACCAACAACAGCAACAACAACAATGCCAACAACAAACGCTAATGCAGCAGCAACAACAGGAGCAATTGCGGGAGGCACAGCACCAAATCCAGCTGCAGCAAGTTGTGCAGCATGCAGCACAAGGCCAACATCAGCAACAACAACAATGGCAACAAGATCTTCTGCACCAGCACACATACACCCACTCCTTGGACCAAGCACAACCGCATGTCTGCCAACAGCACCAGCAACAAATCCGGCAACACACGGAGTGCGAGGACCAGGCCCACCTCTTATTACAAGCTCAGCTGGCACAATACCACCACCAGCAACACCAACAGAGGGTGCTCCACCAACAACAGATCTTGCAACACCTCCTCCTGCAGTGGCAGCAACAGCTTCGCTGTGAACAGGAGCTTATCCTGCAACGACAACAACAACAGCTGCGGCTGTTTTGGAAGCTTGAGCAGGAAAGACAAATGCAACAGCAATACCAGGCACTGAACAGTCCGATGCAGCCTGCGGCTGTTGCGCTTCTGGGTACTGACAAGGATAAACCGGAGCAACAGGATATGGATACCTCGGCCCCGGATGAGCTCTTGCTGAACACGCAACACCGAGCCCTGTTACAGGTGAATGCTGACGTCAAAATGACCCAGGCTCCGACCCCGCTTGAACAGGACACTCTGCCCCATCCCCCTCCTCCGTTGGCAGCCAATGAGGAGGTTAAACAGAAGTTGGCCTTCCTGACGGACTGGACCCTTGCCAAGATATTTTCCATGTCGGCGGATGGAGCACAGGACAAACTTGCTAACAAATATTGGGTCGATGCCAAAAGAGTGCTAATGTCAGCCCTCGCGTTCTGGCCACTATTGAAAAATATAAGGACATCGCGTCCATTGATTAGATGGACGTGGGAGCGGCCATTGTCTTCGTGGTCAATGAGTTTCTTGACAAAATCGAGGAGTATGGAACTAGCACACTTTGTCAGGAACAAACCGCACATGACTCGAGTTGGCCGGACCCCCAAGTTGAGGCAGGGTCTGGCTTGGCCCAAGCTGCGGGTCCAAGAACTTTGCACCACCCTGCACGGCCCCCCTATTGCTGCACCCACCTATCTGGAGGAACAACAGACCCGCCCCCCTACAAGACAGGGGGGACCACAAATCACGAAGAACACAAAGACCACATAATGATTGTGGTCATCATCCCCCGATCTCAGCGTCAGCATCAAAAAATCCAGATTGTGCACGACGACGACGAAGACGATGACACCTCGCCAATAGATTTGAAAGCAGACACACAGAAGGACCGTCCCCCCCGAAAACTGAAAGATAGGGTGAGACTCCAAGTGGATGACGACGCCCCAGGGGAAACTCCTCCGGGAGTGGTCATACTTCCACTGACCAGGGAAAGGGATGGTGGCCAATGGCTGCTGGGACTCAGACCTCCTCTAGACTACTATCCAGAACAGCCACTGGACCCGAAGGGCCTTACAGTGGAAGGGTGGAGGGGCATTCCCTCTACCGCAATAATCCTCAAGTGTCTAAAATACTAGTGCCAAGAGACAGACACAGACGGAGTCCTGGGTGCCGTTCTGCCTTCATCACTATCATTCCCGGAGGGCGTTATACCGGTCATTGTGTTGATGGATTACAAAACCACATCTCTGAAAACACCGACAAGATTCACATGGTTTGCTCACCATAACCTCATGAACCTCTCCACAGACCGATTTAGAACAAATTTGGCCTGGACCCTCACCCACGTCCTGTTGTTCATGCAAATCTTCTTAGAGGACAATGTGCTGGACGAACATAACCAGTGGGATGATCCACCATTTGTTCTCCCAATAAAAACCAAGGACTGAATCGTTTGTGGATGATTGAGAATCGTTTGTGGATGACCGAGAACTGAAGTGCCTGACCTGCAAACCATGATGGAAACTAATGCTGACACAGACATGCAGCCAAACACGCATTCACCAGCCCCTAGGAATGGATTAATTAACAGGCATGATGATGCAGTTCCTCAACCTGTTCACCTTAGTGTGAACGAACTCCAAACAATGGGCCCGCATTCTGCTCACCCTCCTGAGGCGGAACTCCACACCATACACTCCACCCCCGCACACTCTTTGTGTCCCCCTCCTCCCCCTCCCGTACACCTGCCCCCTCTAGTGCCTCCCCAACCCCCTCAACACCCCCCATCCCCTCGGTTTTCCCCCCGACTAGGAGGCAGCCCCAATGGGAAGTTAAGCTGGCACAAGCGGATACTGACATTCGCTCGCTGAACGTGAACGGTCTGATTCAGGCATCACAAGGAAAAAAAGATGCCATATGAGACATGCTCAGATGCCCGCTGACGAGAGCATGGCCAGATGTGATATGCATCCAAGAAACTCATCTGCAGCACACACCAGCCCATATGGCAAAAGAGAAAAGTGTCTGGCCGTACACATCTTACTCTGCACCTGCTGTGGAAAGGGCATCTGCTGGAGTGGCCATCTGGATTCCGCCCTCTTCTAGGCTCAAACCACTCTCAGTGGACTACGACAAACACCAAGGCAGATGGGTCTGCGTAAAAATGCAATATGAAGACGAAGAGTTTTATATGGTCAGCGTCTATGCGCCAAATGATCCCGTAGAGAGAGTGGACCTTTGGCTCGCCCTTCACTACCACTTGCCTCACGATGACCCAATTATAATAGTAGGGGACTTTAACACCACGCTTGACCCCACGATGGACTGCAGATCCACATCCCAACGTCAGACCTTGATGCGCTCCCAAGTGGCGAGTTGTGGCCCAGACGTCCTCATGTTGAAGCAACTTATGGCAGATAGATAACTTGAGGATGCGAACAGACTGCTGCACCCCACGCAAAAAGCATATACATGCCTCTCGTCTCGGGGCGAGCATGGTCTGGCCAATTCACGAATTGACCTCACACTGGTGTCGAAAGACCTGATGGGTCTCGTTACCACAACGGAAATCACAACGATTAGCCCATGTAAATCCTTCGACCATAGGATGATTACGCTGGGACTCTCATTCCATAACCACATATAGCAAGGACTTGGGTTCTATAAGTTCAATACCTCGCTGCTCCCCCTCCCCAAATTTAAAGACCTCGTCACCACTTTCTGGGAATATTGGCGAACTAAAAAACCGGAGTCGGGAGAAAGAGTGAACCGGTTCAACGATGGGGTGGCACAATTAAGGGAAAGGTCTAAGAAGCTCTCCATGCAACATGCAAGGGACCGAAAAGCTCTCCTTGATAATGGGATGAAGAACTGATGAACGACCCGTTGCACCTCCCCTCCTATGAGAGACTCCAAGAGGCCCGGGACCACCTCCAAGCCTACGTGGACCAACAGGCGCAGGCATGGAGAGTGCAAGCGAAAATAAAAAAGGAACACACTGATGGAACAATGGCAAAGGCCTTCTTCAATAAAGTTAAGGCCAGAGCTAGAGATGCCACTGTTCCCAGTCTCAGGCACCCGTTGGACGACACAGCCCCGTCGACGACCAACGCGTACACAAATGCGGACTACGCCGCCAAATATTACACAAACCTCTCCACATCTGAGACCCCCAATAAGCAGCTTGACCAGGTCCATCAGGTGAGGGACACACTGCTACAGGCCTTACACACGCGCCTCACACATGAGCAAAGGGGCATTGTGGACAGCCCATTAACTCCACAAGAGGTCTGGGAGACCCTCCAGGGCATGGAAGAGGAGAAGACACCTGGGATAGACTCGTTCCCTAAGGAATTCTGGGTACAATTTTGGAATCTCCTGAGTGAGCATATCATGGAATATATCAAGGCGGTGCAGAACGAGGGCTCCTTTGGGGGAATGATTGGACAAGGGGTCACAACTCTCTTATATAAGAAAGGGGATAAAGAGAACATTAGAAACTACCGACCTATTACTCTCCTCCCCGTCCCGTATAAGYTGGTAGCCAAARCTCTGACAAMCAGACTGCTACCCTTCATGAACATACTCATCCACCCGGACCAAACAGGCTTCATGCCTAATCGAAACATCCAGGATAACATCCTGCTCGTTAACGAGACCATCAAGTACACCCGTCAGCGAAAAGTCCAAGCTGCAATCCTTTTATTGACTTTGAAAAAGCGTACGATCACGTTGACCGGGACTTCCTAGACATGAGCCTTGCTAGGATGAACTTTGGCCCGACCTTCTGTCGATGGGTGCAACTGCTACACAAATCAGCTACAACGAACATAATGCTCAATGGTCACCTCTCACCACCGATACACCTTCAGAGGTCGGTACGTCAAGGTGAGCCCATTGCACCATTGTTGTTTGTTATAGTTATGGAGGCCCTTGCATCACTAATTAGATCCCATCCCCTGATTAGCAAGGTGCCTATCCCGGACATACCTAGACATCTTATACCGGTAACATCGCTGTTTGCAGATGACCTCACTGTCCTCCTACGTGCAGATCTGGTCAGCCTCCAAGCCCTCACCGAAGTGATACATCTCTTCTCCTTGGCGGCCGACATGAGAGTCAACTGGGGATCCAAGACAGAGGGCTGGTGGCTCCATCCACACGGACTGACCGAGCCGGCCATAGTCTGGGCCCACAAGGAAGACGCAATCAAGGTGTTGGGGGTGCGACTCACTGCAGTGGGGCCCCCACCGGACCATGGGGACATGCTGGTCAATATGGCAGTGGATAGACTGGCAAAATGGGAAGGCCTACACACCTCGTTGGTAGGGCGGGCACTAGCAATTAACAACGCCATCTTAGTGGCCATTTGGTATAAATTGCCAGTATGGCCACTAAACAAGAAACAATATGCCAGGCTAAAGAGAGCGCTTACAGCATATCTGTGGAAAAATAGCACCCAGACCCAAGGTTGTATTAGTCGGGTCAAATGGGATGTGCTCACACAACCCAGAGCAGCAGGGGGGCTGGGGATCTTGGACCTTGAAAGACAGAGTGAAACCCTTATCTTCAAAGTCCTCATCAGGTTGCTCAGTGGGAATGACATTCCCTGGGAACCCTTGGCTCGTCTCCAGATAGCAAATCTAGCCCCGGGGACAGACACAGACCGAAAAATACATCCGTTCCAATGGTTGACCAACAACTACTGGACCATACCGTCACCCCCAAAGAATGGGCAGACCGCTGACCCTGCGCATGCAACAAGGATAGATATAGCATTGGATCCTCTCTGGACTTACATGTTGTGCAGACAACGGGGACCGCGACAAAAAATGCCACCCAACATGTGGCATGATATATGGAAGCAACCCCTCTTTGGCAACCCGAATATCCTCCAAGAAACGAGACTTCCCTTTGTGCTAACAACAAACTCGCCCTGGCTCATCTGGGCCAAAAAGGGCATCTATACGGTTGGGGACCTGTGGGACCTGGCGAGAGGGGAATGGGCAACCCCCCSACTGCTGCAAGAGAGGCTCAAATATGTAAAGAACGTAGCAGACAAGGCTGGCCTGTTAAGAGAGGCTCTCCCCCTCGCTTGGCAGCGCACACTCA